AATCCCTCGTAGCATAGAAGAGTAACACATAGATCATATAAGAACACGAATAAGCTCAACTCTACCGGATGGCACGTCCCTCGACAATAACAGTACTGAGTTAACTAATCCGGCCTGGTGTAGAATACACATCCTCATTAGACCTGCCCATGGACCCCAAATCCACTCTAGTCACCCACAAATAGATACATAACCCTCCGAAAATCCACAATGGTTGATCCATAACACATACTATCATCTAACTAGCTTTGGCCACATCTTCACATTCAACAGCCACAAAACAATCTGTTGTTGAGAACTCCTGATCTCCAAGTCCATAGAACACATGAATAACCATATCTGATCTGAACCCCACCGCCCGAATGTATAACATATCTATCATACACAATCATCCCACGTGGGATACCGTCTATGCCACATAGCAAAATCTAAATATCAGTTGTCGATCAACCAGGAGAGTACCGCAAAATCAATGAAGCATCCGTAAGTCTGAACACGGTACACCTTCTGAAATGTGCACGCTTCTCGGTAATTGGCAAGTAGTTATAACATTCATCTACATATCTGAAACTGTCCATGCTGTCAAAAATTCATGACCTTCCCTTTTAAATACAGACTGTGACCTTGCACATGAAATCTCAATCTCACTTAACACACCACATCTATCATGCCATCGTAGAAACGGTATGAGAACCTCATAATCAACTCTGAGTCGCAAGCAAAATGTATACTCAATTGGTCAGGGACCTTCCATTTGATCTCATCCAAGAGAAAATCACAATACGCCACATATTTCCTTAAGCTGGTAGGAAATGTACACCTCTAACCATGGTAGAAATCCTCGAGAGCATTTTGAAACCCATTAGCACACAATTAGGCCGTCAGAACTGAATCTCTGTAACTCAACAAAGACATGCAGGTCGCCAAATACAAGAGTATTTCCGCCGAGAACCTGTAAAGACTTACCAATTCATATGTACCCAAAGAACCGGCCATATCTATTACCTTGCTGATCCAACCTACTACCAAGTTTTACTATTTATCTGATTTCCTTCTGAATTACCCTGATGATGACACTTCTTATTTCCAGAACACCATGATCCTTAACCAAAACTCACCCTGTGAGATCCTAAAATAAAATTGTACCACCCTAAGGCCCATAAGCCATTGTATGAAAAATGCTCACTACATAGGCTGCAAACAAGAACAGTAACTAAACAGACAAAAATGGTAACGTCTATTTCGACCGGTGGTGAAAATCCGCCGGACCACACCCAACAAATGCATAACAACACTGCGCACAAACCCTAGGTAGGCTCCCCTATCATTTCTTCCCCATCTGCTGAAGAAATCAACAATGGCAGAAATGGATGCTTACCAAACAATTGCCAGGAGATAGCAAAGATACACTGCAACATCACTAGGTCAAAATGACTGATTGAAATCAATGGAGATTACTCAACACACCATTTACAATCAACCTACAAAGTCTCAGACTACATCACAACAGGAAGCCTCGATTCAGAATAGGAGAACAATAACGACAAATAGTGGTTGGTCTCGAATGGAACTACAAATGACCAAGTTAGTCAAAACCAATGCCAATCCGCTACAATTGATCTGGATATTGATCCCAACCCCTCAAACAACAACCACGATGAGCAATTCATTACAAAATGATAGAACCCAATATACGCAGAATCGCATATGCCATCTTTTCGACAAAATGCCAAGGTCAGTTTTGATATCAATTTTAATGAATAGATGAATGGTTGTGCTTCACAAAGTCATGTTGAGCTTAGTTGTCATGAAAATGCAATAAAACAAACACAAAAAGAGGTTGAAAAAAATGGCACCTATAGTAGCAACCACATTGCCAGCACATGTTGCCCTTACTAATACTGATGTACAAGCTGTGATTGAATTGGATGGAAACGATTTAATGCCAGTTCGTGGAAGTCATCGGCATGTTCAATTTTAATCGCATGTTGAGAACCTTGTTGCGCGACCAAATGTTGCCCCTGATATTGTGATGTTAAATGAATGTAATGTTCCTGCCCATTCAACTGGACAAAGATCATTTGAGCAGTCTCCTGATAACAAAGACAAAGCTGTCAAACCAACTCATACTGATCAGCTACATCCAACCCCTTCTTCAACAACATTAATTCATTCAGCTAATGTCTCTATAGCTCATCTGACCAATGAAAATGAGTCTTTAACTACTCAAGCACACCCTCAACTTGCTCAGATAACACCTTCATCAACCTTTCCTAAAATATCTACCAAATTTGACAATCTTCCAAGTACTCATTACCAAATGTTAGCTACAAGCCAGCACCAGAACACCAGCAAACCTAGCTTAAAGCCAAAAAAACTACCTTTCAAGACAAACCCCAAAATCAAGCAATCTCTTCAGCACCTGCATACACAAACACAAAGAACTCATCCAACTTAACTCAACTAAAAAACCCTAACACCTATAAACTACCAGCAACGTTTAACCAAAATACCCAACCTCACCACATTATAACAAATACCCATCCCAAGCTTATAGCTACGAGTGCCTAACAAAATAAAACTAGTAACTACCCTGCTCCTCCACCATCTACTATCACTCAATATCTAGCTACAAAGTTAAGAGCTAGGCATGTTTCAGAGATAACACCAATAAAGTTCACACCTCCCAGAATCACTACCAAACAGGACCAACCAACTGTTATTTTTACCAGGACAGATTATATGGTCACATTGGATAAAAGATGCCAATATACAATTGTGGGCAAATTCCTTAACACAATGCTTAGAATGGAACAAATAAGGAGAATATTCATAGCACAAACAGAACTCGGAGGAGGAGTTAAAATAGCTCATTTCAATGCAAGAACAATCTACATTGACTTAGACAATGAGTATCATCACATTACTATTTGGACAAAATCATTCATGTTCATCCAAGGTCAAAGAATGGAATTGCAAGCTTGGACACCCAATTTCAATCCAAATGAGGATAATCCTATTATTCCTGTTTGGGTAGTCATTCCAGAACTTCCATGGCATTTATACTATAGGGGAAGTGTTGCAAAAGTCAAGATGCAGGTGTATTTGACTAAGGACACGCCTCATCATGTTTGGCTAGGATTTGATAAAGATCAGAATGTGAATGGGGATGGCCAGTGACTGGAAGTAATATATAAAGATCTACCATATTACTACTTACACTGCAGGCACTTGGGTCATGAAGAGTACAACTGCACTATCAGAAAAAGGGAAGAAAAAGAGAAGAAGAAAGCAGCAGTAACAGCTCACACTGCTAACAATCACCTTACAAACAAGCTAAAGGGAACAACTGCAACACCACAGGAGCAAATGGTACAGGGATAGTAAAATGATAAGACTTGCGACCAAAAAATTGAGGAACAATGCAAAATTGAGGAGCAACAAGGAAGAATAAATCATAAAAGTAATTGTGCAACAACCAAAAAAGGATAACCATTCCAACGATCGATGGCAATCTCAAAAACAAAAGAATTTCAAGGGAATAAACCAGAAAAATAAGCAAAAGAAACAGACACTGCCACAACAACAAGCACTTGAGACACATTTATCCATACCCTCCCAGCCCTTAGGTATAATGAGCAAATCACAATGTGCTCTACCAAAGCCACTGGAGACTGTATCAGATGCCATTCATAATACTGCTGATAGTGCTGATGCGTGTAATTGAGGATAAATTAGTGCACAGGAACCACCTAATGAGACAGGGCACTTTACTGGAATAACAGCTCCTCAGATAGTTCATGAGTCTGCTCAGGTAGGTGGTAACACCAGCATAGTAAACCAACCATCCACTACAGCAAATCAGGCAAGCACACAGAAAAATAGGGATTCTAGAATTGTCAATAATGTGACTTTTGAATCTGATAGTAAGGGCAGGGACAAGCTCAAAGAACAACATCAGAAGCATAAAATTTTGGAATATCTAGATAACCAATATCTAAGAACTGCTGAAAAATCAAATTCCAATCCTAAAGCTGTAGAGCTGACCATAAGCTTTATCTCTACTGATACTGGGCAAAATGCTTGAGGGACAAAAGAAAATACCGTTGACTTGGTTCAAAGGAGCTTTGGAATGCATAAGGAAACACTTAATGTGACCCTCAACCACTCATGTTAGGAAGTACCATCTCAGACATTTGTGGACTCACCTAATTAAAATGGAAAAATTACAGGATCTATACAACTAGGAGAGGTGAAGTAAGTTCAGAGGAAGATACAAGACTAAGACTTGATGATCAAAGAGTTAATTCAATGCTAGCATAAGTTAATACAGAGGTACCCTGGAAGGCTTTGGACACCAACAAAACTGGGGAACTAGTAACCAACATTGAAGGTACAATGGTAATATTACCAGACAGGGAGAAGTTCAGTAATGCTGATGCAGAGATATATCACCAGATACTTAGGTCATCCTCTCAAAATGTAGATGGGAAGGATCCAACAATTGTGTATGAGCAGGTAGGGTCATCCATAATTCCTAGGGAGTCAGCAACAATTGATACACTGCCTATTGCAATTGCATCAACCACTGGATCTCCAATGGAGATTCAAATCAATATACCACTGCCATCTCCTGCTCAGATTATACATGACATTATTGCACACAAGGAACTTCCTTTGAAAATTCATAAAGCCTTGTGCACTAATGAACAACTAAAAGATAAAGGTGTTGATGAATCTACAACTGGGAATTTCAAGTATGTGGCAAGGGAAGGAGATTTGTCACCTAGGACTGTATCTAAACAAGGTAATAAAGGAAGGAAGCAAACTCATCACAAGGAACAACAACTTCCTGCAAGATTACTGCCCAAGAGGGCAGCCTCCACCACTAGATGATGATTAAGACACTCATATAGAATATAAGGTCTGTTAAAACTCAGCAGGCCTTTCAGAGAATTATCAACATGCAAAAGGAACATGGTTTTTTAATTATAGCACTCATGGAGTCTTTCCACAAGCAGAGGCTTATTCAGAACTATAGGAGGAGGCTAGGCATGGAAGCAACAATATCTAATATCAATGGCAAGATATGGCTATTTCTTGATGCTATGGTCTGGTGGGATATGGTGATTAACACTGACCAAAAACTTACTATCATGGTTTATCATCAAGATATTGAGAAGCACATCATTCTGGAAAGATTAGATTTATGGGATAATCTATACTACCTTGCTAGAGACATGGAATTACCTTGGGCAGTTGGAGGGGACGTCAATGTGGTTCTTAATGAAGAAGAGAAGATTGGTGGACTACCAGTTTACCCTCAAGAATATAAAGACTTTGCCTTCTATGTAAACTCCTATGGGCTATTTGAAATGGGGTACAAAGGAAGTCCATTCACATGGTGGAATGGGAGAGCAAACTCAGAATGCATATTCAAAAGGTTAGAGAGAATTTTTGTCAATGTGTCATTCCAGATTTTATTCCCTAGTACAAAAGTGGAGCACTACATCAGAACAGGTTCTGACCATGCACCACCACTGATGAGTAGTGGTAAGCAGACTACTCGAATTGCCAAACCTTCAAATTTCTGAATTTCTGGCAAATTATGCCTCTTTTATGGAGGTAGTTATACAGAATTAGCCGGCTGATTTCACAGGTGACCCTTTCTTATGTTCAAACATAAACTAAAAAGAGTTAAGATTGTTCTTTCAAAATAGAGTAAGCTCACTTATGGGGACATCTCTAAACAACTAGCTTTAAGAGAAGTTGTGGTCAGAGTAAAGGAAATACTATTTGAAGAAGAACCAACAGTAGAGTATAGAATTGTACTTCAGAAAGCACAATCCGAGTTAAACAGATATCTGAGCATGGAAGAGAAGTATTTGAAACAAAAAGCAGGAACGTCCTGGTTTGCATAAGGAGATAGAAATACTAGATTTTTCCACAACCATGTCAATGGTAAAAGGCAAAAGCTCCAACTTAAGAGAATACATAATCATGATGGTGCTTGGATTGAGTCACAAGATTAGTTGGTTGATGCAGCAGTAGAAATTTACCGGAAGTAGTTTTCATAAGAAGATGACCCTACATGCTCTAAGCTCCTAAACAATGTACCTACAATGGTGTCTAGTGATTAGAACTTAGAGCTTTGTAGAATTCCTACAATCGAGAAGGTAAAAGCAGCAGTATTTGCATTGAATGCTGAGAGTGCAAGTGATCCAGATGGTTTCACAAGAATTTTCTTTCAAGAATGTTGGGATATAATAGGAGAAGATATACATGAAATGCTGTAACTGTTTTATGGAGGAAGTTCTTTGCCTAAGTCTATAACGCACACAAGCCTTGTCTTGCTTCCAAAAAAACATAGATTCAAACATTCACTGATCTCACACCTATAAGCTTAAGTAATTTTATAAATAAAGTGATATCTAGAGTTTTTCATGATAGGTTGGAAAAGATACTACCTTCTATGATCTCTTCTGACCAATCAAGATTTGTCAAGGGAAGAAGTATATTTGAAAACATCTTATTAACTCAGGAGATTGTTACTGACATAAGGTTAAGGGAAAAACCTGCCAATGTAGTTATCAAACTTGACATGGCAAAAGCATATGATAGGGGAGTTGTTTAATGATTCTTGAACATGTACTTGTTTTGAGTGCCTATTTATTTTCTATCGGGATCTATGGATTGATCACAAGTCAAAATATGGTTCTCTTGGAAGTATTTAATGCATGTTTTGAGGAAAATGGGATTTGCAGAATGTTTCATCAACATGGTGTGGAATCTACTATCCAACAACTGGTATTCTGTTCTGATTAATGGTCAACCTTCAGGTTTCTTTCACTCAACAAGAGGTGTCAAGCAAGGGGATCCTCTCTCCCCAGCCCTATTCATACTCTCTGCAGAGGTACTGTATAGGTCTTATAATAAGCTATTTGAAGATCAGAGATTCAAGGGTTTTGGCATGCCCAAGTGGATTGATCCATTGTATCGTTTCTCCTATGCAAACGACACTATAATCTTTGCTTCAACTGATTCATACTATTTAAAGAAGATTATAGAAGTCTTGTACAAGTACGAGCACACTTCTTGCCAAATAATCAACAAGACAAGGAGTTCCTTTTATATGCACTCTACTGTGTCTGCAAGACTGTTCAACTCTGTAGGTACTATTACAGGATTCTCAAGGCGTGAGTTTCCATTCACTTATCTTGGAAGTCCAATATTCTACAAAAGAATAAGTACGGATTATTACAATGGCTTGATTAAAAATGTGAAGGCAAAGATGCATTATTGGAAAGGGAAGCTACTATCCTACGGGGGGAAAGCTACATTAATCACAAGTGTCCTACAAAGCATGCCTACGCACATACTTTCTATCCTTGATCCACCTAACAATGTACTTGAACACATTCATAAAACCTTTGCTAGGTTCTTCTAAAAACCTTTGCTAGGTTCTTCTAGAGTAACAAGGATGAAGGTAGAAGTAGACATTGGACAAAATGGAAAAATCTTTTCCTACCAAAGGAAGAAAGGAGGGGGGGGGGTAGGTTTTAGATCTCTGTACGATGTCTCTAGAGCTTTATTTTCTAAATTATGGAGGAAATTTAGGACATAGAAGTCCTTATGGTCTAATTTCATATGTAACAAATACTGTAAAAAGGAGCTGCCAACGAAGAGGTAGAGCATGCAATATTAGGGGAAATGAAAAGGGGATCAACTAACATTTGGCATGAGAATTGGACTGGACTGGGAGCTTTGTACCATGTTATTCCAAGAGACTACCCAATCAATGAAGATATACAAGAAGTAGTTGACTTGAGAGTGGATGATACTTGGGATGAGCAAATCCTGGATCAGTCTTTTCCTATAGACATTGCTCACCATATCAGACAAGAAGTTCTATTTGACACTAGTGATGATGGCTGGGATTTTCCTAGATAGATGCCTACACCTTCAGGAAATTTTTCTGTTAGTAGTGCGTGGAAAATTCTAAGCAATAGAGACCTACTAATCCTGATTACATTAAGATGTGGACTCAAGGTTTACTATTATGAATCTCCTTCTTTCTATGGAGATTGTGGAAAGGGAAGATTCCCACATATGACTTATGGAGGAGAGGTGGGTACATGATAGTGTCCAAGTGTCGGTGATGCTCACAACCACAAGAAGACTCATTCCAGTATTTGTTCTTAAAGAGTGAAACTGCAAACAAGGTATGGAAGACTTTCCTTCAGGAAGCAGGGTTGGTAGTAAATCTGATACAAGTTCATCAAGTAATAATAGCATGGTGGAATGCACAATGTTGTCCTAAACTAAATCCATTATTTCAAGCAGTTCTAGCGGTGATCACATGGGAACTTTGAAAGAGGAGAAATACAATATAATATAATGGTGCAATATCATGTAATAAGGTACATCATGAGGTGAAGAAGACACTACATTACCTTGCAAGAGTGAGGTATCCATGGCTATCAGTCATCCCCCTTTTATGGCCAGAACTAATCAGATTCTTGGAGGGTTACAAGCCATTTGTTTTGACTAAGAAAGTGATATGGCAGCTTCCTTATGAAAGATGGTTCAAGTGCAACACAAATGGTGCATCAAGAGGTAATCCTGGACCAAGCTCATATGGCTTTTGTGTGTAAAATCATGTGGGTGATTAGGTTTTTGCTAAAGCAAGTGAAATAGGAGAGGCAGCCAATATAGTGCCAGAACCAAAGGCTATTTGTGAGGGGTTAGAATACTATGTTGAAAGGCAATACATCCACTGATTATGGAGACTGATTCCTTAGTGATGAGGAACATTATTTATGGGAAATGGGCAACTCCATGGTGTATAAGTGCCGTAGTGAGCAAGATCAAGCAGATAAAGAACAACTATAATGTTCTCTTTCAGTATGTACTAAGGGAAGGGAACATTGTTGCGGATTTTCTTGCTAACCTAGCTTTCTCTTTTGCAGGTACACTCACATTTCAGTCGTTTCATGAATTACCAATTGCGGCAAAAAAACTGATCAACATAGACAAATCACCAATTCCTAACCTTCGGATTAGGATTGAAAAGAGAAGAGAACCTGATTGATGATCAAAACATATAATACTTTGCCTCTCATTGACTCATATTTCTGCATTCCTAGTAGGCAAGACAAGCATTTTAAGGCAAGCAGGCAAGACAACCACAACTCTCTTCACTTCAACACCACCAAATGCAACATACAATCAACATTCCTAAAACAGTCACCCACCAGTTTCTCACAACTCTAGATTCTACAACAACATGTCATCATAAGCATACAACTGCTGCAACCAATGACTAACAACTTGATCTTACACTCTTGTCTTACTCACATTGTTAGTTGCCTTTGCATATGCAATACCACATGCACTTCTTTGTAGGGTGTTGTTGATTGGGTGTAGCAGATTGGTTGGATATAGACTCCTTTGAGAAAACCAATAACTATGTATTGGAGCTACTATTTCTTCATTGCTACAGGGCTTACATCTATAACATGACCTCCAATATAATAAGCAGCCTACACTCACACAGATTTTCTTTTACTGCTATTCTTAGGATGGTATGGCATGGTTATGTGTTATCTCATTACTTCGCAGTGGAATTAGCATGACTTCATTCTCATTCTGGGTGTAGTTTAACTATATACAACAACAATATACAAACCTAGTAGCAGCCAAATCCCTCTTACCTCACTTACAGACCAAGCTTCTACAATGCTCCCAAACCACATAAGAACCTGGGAGCACAAACTCCCTTCCTAACATGTTTGCTACATTTTGCAGGTTCCTAAGACAGGTTTAACAAACTGAGGCAATGGGATGGACGGATCTTATACAAATACATTTTATAGCTCCATTCCAACATGCCAAATGTGAAGACATCCAATTTCTTATTGTTCAGTGTTTGCTTATTCACGTATCAATTCCCAGTGGAATTTATTTCAGAGATACGCTCATATTAATGAGGCATTTATCTTCATTTGAAGTATGGAATTACTCTCATACATTCACTGGAAGTATGGAATTACTCTCATTACGTGCACTGAACAGTGTAGGACTATTTACTCACAGTATGGAGATGTGCCATTTTCTAGTGGTATTAGCATTTTTCTTTTAACATATCCAAATGGTTCTGTTGTCCCTGTTATGGATTTACATAGACCTATTCATTCGGATTACAAGACATGGCGCCTGCTTCTACTCTTATTCAAATTCGTCAAAACAATGGACTTTTCAAAGATAGAAGATTCAGTTCAGTTGATCCAGTATCAATCCACAGGGAATTTATTGATGGGAGTTGGGAATTACAGCACTGATAAACCCCAGTACTTGTTGGTTTCTGCAGCACCAAAATTTGAACAACTGAATTGTTTTGTGCATATCAACTATTGCTGGTGCGAGTTTGATCCTTACATTTTCTAGGACTACTTGCATTGTCATTTCACATATTGGGCAAATGCTATCCGTTTCACCTTCTCCAGTGTGGCTTCCACGACATCAAACTCACCTGTGATCTATTGTTGCACAGGAGAACTTGGTCCAGTAGAACAACTGTCAGGAGCTGTGTCAT